AGAGGAGGGTTTTCTAGATTTGCTGAACTCCTTTGAGAAATCCGATAGTCCATGAGTCTAACCTTGACATATGTTTCCCTGCTGAGTTTCCCTACGACCCTGCTCTTCTCTGATTGACTCTACTGAGAGTGATTGGGAGAGTACCTTGCTTTGTTGACCCCTAGATTTACTCTTTCGGTTGTCGGTGACACTCTAAAGTCAATCTTACGCCTGATTACTTTCCTATCTCTTCTCTCTGCTATGCCAAACACATCTCGATTTTGGGTATAATTTAATCTCAATGCTTATGCATTTAATTTCAATTTACATGCAGTTCATCTTACCATCCAATTTGGAGACACTTAAGTGAATAGTTAACGTTTAAGTTAATTGGCTTTCCATTGTGAACTTAGATGAAGCATATCTATATACTCCCTCCGGTTCTTATTAAAGTTCCCACTTTCCTTTTTGGGGTGTCCCTTATTTAAATTCACACTTCCATTTTAGGAAACAAAACAGTGCAAAACAGTGCCAAACAGTGCCAAACAGTGCATTCCACAGTAAAGTCAAATTCATTTTCTAAATATGTGTGAAGTCAAACTGGGAACCTAAATAAGAACCGGAGGAAGTACTTATTAAGTGAACTAAGTCTCTCAATAAGTTTCCTTCTCACATCAAGAGAATATACGTCTGCTCACTTAAAGAATGAGTTAACGCACCTGGTACTCTTCTTCAGATTTGTTCTGTACATCACACCTTCCAAGGATCCTTCATTCTCAATCCGAAGCCTTACATTTTAATACATTAATAAGAAACATGTTCTCCTCTTTGTTATGCCACACAATTTTGACTTCCTTTGGGTCATGGCTCTCTTCTATCTATAAGGTGAGGTTTTTGGATTTATTGATCAGTTTATCGGTTTCAACTTCTATTGTCAAGCATGCTTGGAGAGCTTATCTCAACCCACTCTTCTCATTATTGGTTAGATGATATTATCTCCCAAGTCTAACTAACTCTTTATTTCTCAGTTTAACTTGCCATATATATCATATCAAAATTTTATATGAACTTTAGTGTAAACCCCTACATTTAGTGATATATACTTTCAATTTTATAGGAATTCATCGATTATATTCTCTGATGGCTACAAATGCTTTCATCAATAGTAGTAAAACTTGGCTAAGTGGTCCTTTAGAAAACTTACACCCCTGTTGCTGCTTTTTTATGCTTCTAGAATAGATTATAAGGGCTGTCTTTATTTTTTCAGATTTAGAGGGCCTTTTCTATATATGATTTCAGTTAAGAACATACAAAAAGTGACAAAAACTTTTTTTCATTAATACATTAATGGAATTGAAAATATTGCAGTTGTTTTCACTTCAAAGTGTATTACTTCCAACCCGTAAATTGGCATGGCAAAGCATCCTTTAGTTATTCAACCCAATAATGAACATCCATTACCCCAACATGTGTCTTTGATGTAAAAAAATGCAATTTTTATTCATTTTTGAGTTGTGATTTAAACTCAACTAATCTGAACATCTACTATCTAATCTATATCTATATCTATATACTTAGAGCTAAGTATCCCGCCTAAAGTTTTAGGGATATAAGCATAATTTTAGCCATTTCTCCCACATATCCTTATCCCCAGCGCTTTTCAACTTTCCAGAGTCTTAAGAGCATCAGGTTGTTATTTCAATGCAAATTGAGGTTTTATATGTGTCTAAACACATAATTTGTACTACTCCCTCCGTCCCATTTAAAGGTTCTCGTCCACTATTTTCCGGTCAACGCGCATTGTTCTTAATCTTTTACTTTATATATTCAACTTTTATCAAATTTAAATTTTCTTGATCAGGCTTTGTAGCGGTTATAATGTAGTTTCTGAATATGTAAATTTTATTTACTCAAAATAATTCTACTAATGACAGAGATCGGTTAACTTTATGGTCAGTCAAACCGTGTGAGAACGTTTAAATGGGACGGAGGGAGTACAATTTATTACCCGACATGATATACAACATGACATGCTTGAACCTTTATGTAGAGAGAGTCCTTTAGAAGGAGGATGAGAAGTGGAACCAAAAAACGGGTTATAAAAAAGGTCACTGTTTGAATTGTGTGAATTATTTAGTTGGTCTCAGTTCTTAGTTTTTAAAAGTTATAATTTTTGGATGAAAGGTTGTAGAAGACATTTGTTCGGTGAACATGTTACCAAAGCAAAAAGCCAGAAGAAGGCTTCTCCTGACCACTCATCTTATGCAGCAGTTGTTTCACACTCCACCAACATCAATCCCTTAAGCAGATTCCAAATTGAAGTTCCGGAATGTGCCTACATGGTTTCTAGAATGACATTAGGAAGTGCATGTGGACTGGTTTCTAGCTTTATTGGGCATAATACCAGTATGGCTAAGGCTGATGCTGGTGACAGAGAGTCGTAATTTTTGGATTTGTGATGAGTTTTTTATAAATCATGTCTTGGTTGGGTTATTTATGTTTTTCTAATAATATTTCTTATTTTTTGCAAGTCCTGCCATGATTGTGAAACATGAAGGCAATAGTAATCAGCATTTACAAAAATTTGTGAAAGAATGTGCAGTGAGAAAACGAAGTCAGAAGATCAGTTGTTGAAGTAATGATCTAATTTTTTTCACATTTATTGTGTGATTGGAAATGAGACAGCTAATACTGCACATTTTTCTTTTGTTTATTAGATGTTGCTATTGTATATTATACCCCCACTTTTTTCTCATTGATATAAGTTTTTGTTGCTCTCACTGTTAAATTTGATAGTGAACAGCCAAGATCTGGATAAGTTCTCGATAATTATCTTGTTTGCAAAGTTCCACACCCGAGCCCCACCCAATGCCTCATCTTCTCTTTAGATCTTTTCCTACATGTTGGGCTAAACATTATAGAAGAAAGTGAAGGCTATAATATGAGAAAATTGAGTGCTGCTACGATTCTTCTTCTCTCTTCATATGTTATCATTTATGTCATGACAAGAAGTGAAAATATGATTCTTTTCTCTCTTGGTCCATGGACCATGGTATTATGGAGTTTTTTGTATTTATTTCTATTTTCGAGAAGTGATTTATTTGAGAAAATATTTTTTTTGAAAGGTATTTTGAGGGGGGAAATGAAAAAGTGATTAATGGTAAAAATTGAAAGTGTTTGAACAGAAAAATGTTTCCAATATGTAAATGTTAAAGTGTTGGATGAAAAGTACTCCCTGCGTTCCGAAAAGGTTGGCCAAAGTTGATTTTCACGTGAATTAATAAAGTAAAAAGTATGTGGTTGAAATTTGTGCAGAGGAGATAAAATTAATTTTAGCCACATATTTCTCACTTTAAATGGAAACGGCAAATCTTTTTGGGACATCATAAAAAGGAAATTTGGCCAACCTTTTCGGGACGGAGGGAGTACTTTTTATGAAATAGAAAATATTAAAAGCCGTTAAAACACACTTCTTTTTCTAATAGAGCACATTTGGTAGGATGTAAAATAATTACTTTGCATGAGAAGTGGAGGGACGTAAAAGGTTTACACCATTTGATTTGATTATTTGGTAATCTGTAGAACACTTTTAAAAACATTTCGCACTATACCATGTAAAGTATTTTACGTGGGGATGGCCGGTGATAAAATATTTTGCATACTTTTTATAAAACACTGCAATGTTTTTGCATGCAAATTAAAAGTAAATTACATATCTAGCCAAATAATGTAATCTATTTTACATGTAAAATGATTGTTTCTCTAAACTTTGCATTCAACCATTTCTCGTGTAAACTATCAAATGAGCTTTTAGTTTTAAAGTTTTAAACCCCTTAGTTTTTAGTTTTCAACCGCTTCACTTTAAGCGGAAAGACTATTTGAATTAAATGAACTATTATTAGCTCTTTAAAGCAAAAAAACTAAAAAAATGTCATTTTTAATTAGACCTCATCAACGCATGGTTTTATTTCCCCAAATTTTATATTCCTTCTTTTGGCCGATTTGATACACGATACTCTCACAAATGATTTGTTTTGGAGTATCAGTCGATAACCTCATGCATGAATGTGAATTTCAAGTTGAAAAACAAATTTGCCCAAATTTTAAAGTTCCTGTTTCAACATATTTCATAGCTACACGGCCTACACCTATTTCTATGGAAGTTTCTAATGATTAAACCTGATGGTTAAAAAACAAGAGAAAATTAATATAGATTGAAAAGATCTATAAAAAGGAAACACCATGCATTAGAATGGTATGCATAATCTAAAATTATGAGTAATATTAAATTAATTTCATCTCCTCTCTGCAACCTATTTTTAATATAATTGCAGGTTTGAATTTTACTATGGAGTACCTTCAACCGTGAAAGATGTTAGAGTCCATTTTTTATGTCACAAAGTTTATTTACGCACTACTTGAAAATTTAGTATAGGTGTGAAACTAAATGCCATTTTTTCATAACATATTAGTTTTATGTTTATTTAATTAATTAGTTTCTATGGACAGAAGAATACTAATTTCATACTTTAATTGAAATGAGCAATCATAGCTTCGAGTAGAACCTTAAGTGCTTTCTTAATTGATAAGGATTTTTAATACGAAAAACTACATTATTCTTCCTGGACAATTGAGTTGAATTTTGATCGATTATCTGTTAATGAGAGAAGACAGCGGAGCTTGAAATCATTTACTGGAGAATGCATTTTTAGATATAATGTGTAAGTGAAAATGTCTATTTATAATGTGTGTATTTCAGAGCATACAATTATTAAAGTCATAAATTGTATGCCCACATAGAATTTGGAAAACTTGAATGACTTTGTAGATAATATGTTAGTTTGTTAGTTGCACGGGTAAAAAACTAGTTCAAGTAAATTTCTGTAATTGCCTTCAAAAAAATATTGAGCAATGGGTACCAAATAGGCCATAGAAACTACCTCCTGCCTTCTTTTTTCAGCCGTAGCGCAGCATACCTCGCATCATTCAGCCGTTTCAACAATGGGTTTCCATCCTCTGACGTAGAGGAGCTTTGACAGCTCGCGCTTAATCGGCTGCCCACCTGCTAAGGCAAGCGTTCTCCATCATCTCCTGGTCAGACGTACGTTTCGTTTTCTCCTTCCCATTTACGCCCTCTCCATTTTTCTTTATCGACTCGACTCGACTCGACGACTCCTGCGACCAACGACATCCGCTGCGACACAGAACGGGTAATGGCCTCAACATTCTCTAAAGATCAGATCCGGAGATGAAACGCCGGCTTAGCCTGGCTTGTTCGTTAGGTTCCGTATCAGCAAAGTAGTAGTTTTAGACACACAATCCATATAGGTGGATGGGGTAACTGTCTGAATCAGCTTATGATTAAAATAGGATACTGTTTTTTTCGAGACTTGCTAGACCGTGGTTTGTATTTTGGAGGAAAGTGTCACAGCCAGCTCCAGGATTTGTGGTGGCTAGATGATGAGCCCACATCCGTTGGCTGGGGATGGTGTGTTTTAGAATTTTTAGTTTTAGGGTAATTGTGTGTGTGCTTTTTCTTATACCTAATAATTTAGCGCTCTTTCGAGTCTTTTGACTCTTTTCTGGTTTCCACCCAACCTTCAATCTTCACAAGTGAGCTCTCTCCTACTTCCCCCCTCTTAATTTTTAAAATAAAAATATAATTCTCTGCGTATCTTGCTATTGAGTTCATAAACTCCATATGTTTACAGTTTGAGAAATTTTATTTGCTCTCAACCTTCAGTTTGCTTGCATTTCATGTTGGTGAGTTTCCGGATTGTTTTACTCATATGTGGATGTGAATACATGGATGTGAACACGCATTTCCTAGAATGGTTGACTCATGTAGGCGGAGATGCAAATTTTCACTTGTTTTTGAAATATTTGAGATCTGTAGTTAGTTGCCAGGGTTGTTGTTTCATTTACATGTAAATCTTTTTTGGGAAATTTTTGTTTTTATTATAGTTTTTTATTAATTGCTTTCTGAAATATATTGGTGTTACGTTAATATTTGGGACATAGGAAGTACAAAATATGGCACCTTTTATTGGAACAAATCTATTTTACTTTACATCTTACCTAATATTTGCATATAGGAGGATGGATGGTTCAAGTTCCCAAATCGGAGGTAATGTGGACTCTTTCCTGAGGAATTATAAGCTTGGCAAAACTCTTGGCATTGGTTCCTTTGGTAAAGTGAAAATAGCTGAGCATGCATTGACCGGGCATAAAGTTGCTGTCAAGATTCTTAACCGCAAAAAGATAAAAAATATGGAAATGGAAGAAAAAGGTGATGATATCTGTTGTAGTTTCTCACTTTCATTTTACTTCATTTCATTTAAACAATCAAATTATGGCTCTATTCTAGATTTTGACTTTTTCACTAAGCCACTTTATACCCATCCAACTCTTTGGAGTTGGAGATGTTTGCTTTTGAAATTGGATTTGCCTACATGAAGCCTTTTCTCCCAAAGGCAATGTAGCACTTAACTGAACTATGTGTTCTTTTTAATAATGTGCTGCTGCTGTGTAACCTGCTCATCTGTAAAATACTCCTAATTTTGCTTCAAGTTTTAAAAGGAGTTCTTGTTTGTTAGACATTGAAGCTGTTTTTAACGGACATCTTATGTTGATTTTGGTATACTCTTCATTGTGTAGTCCGAAGGGAAATCAAAATACTGAGGTTGTTTATGCATCCTCATATCATACGGCTTTATGAAGTCATAGAGACGACATCAGATATCTATGTCGTGATGGAATATGTGAAATCGGGTGAATTGTTTGATTACATCGTTGAGAAGGGCCGTTTGCAGGAAGATGAAGCCAGAAAGTTTTTTCAACAGGTAATGGTGTTCTGATTTTGCCAATCGGGTGTTTCACAAGAATAAAGCTTGTTTCTTGTTGTAGTGGTGTTTTGATTTTTCATTTTTAATTCTGATTTCATATGTTGATTCATGTTAGCCGACCCCAAACTCTTTTGGGATTAAGGCTCGGATGTTGTTAATTGTCTTTTTTATTTTCTTGACAATTTACCCATCCAACTCTTTTTTTTCCTATGGGTCATTCAATTTTTGAGAAGCAGATCATTTCTGGTGTGGAGTATTGCCATAGGAATATGGTAGTCCATAGAGACCTTAAGCCTGAAAATCTTCTATTGGATTCCAAGTGTAATGTTAAGATCGCTGATTTTGGATTGAGCAATGTTATGCGTGATGGTCATTTCTTGAAGACCAGCTGTGGCAGTCCGAATTATGCTGCTCCGGAGGTACTGAATCATTAAAAATTAACTTTGTCTGGTTTATAATTTAATCATCAAAAGAAAACAAATAATCCCTCCTTCCCGCTAATATTGTCCCATTTCACCTTTTCGGGAAATCGCACTAAAATTGTATCATACCAAATTCGGTAAAGTTTGTGTGGCTCTAAATCATTCTTACTTTATTCTTATTTTATAAATTAATATCAACCACATAAACCCATTTTTCTTAATAACTGTGTCACCCCCTTCCGTCCCAATATTAGTGGGACGGAGGTAGTATGGGGGTGTTTGGATCTGATTCTTAAAACTGCTTCTGCTCCTTGAAGGAGCAGAAGCAAAAGTTGGAGTGTTTGGGTGAAAATGTAGAAGTGATTCTGGTGCTCTAATTTACTCCTAGAATAAGTTTTTTTAGAAGCTGGGGGGTACCAGCTTCTGAAAACTGATTCTGATTCTGCTTCTGCTTTCAAAAAGAAGTAGAAGCAGAATCAGTTCCAAACACCCCCATAACTATAACTCTAGGTTGGAATACTGTTGTATATATATCCTTCTCTGCAGGTCATTTCAGGAAAATTGTATGCTGGTCCCGAGGTTGATGTGTGGAGCTGTGGAGTAATCTTGTACGCTCTTCTCTGTGGGACCCTGCCATTTGATGATGAAAATATCCCCAACCTTTTTAAGAAAATAAAGGTATTATTTATTATCAATATTGTGGGTCTCATATACTATTGGGTTGATACTTGTTTTCTTATTGTCATGCATTGATAAATTACTTGTATCACATAAAACTCTAAAGCTAACTTGTTGTAATTTAATAATGTTGATTTTTGTTTGCTACTAGCATTTACTTGGTCAAAATAATTTCTTTAGGGCGGGATATACACTCTTCCTAGCCATTTATCACCTGGTGCAAGGGATTTGATCCCAAGAATGCTTATTGTTGACCCGATGAAAAGAGTTACTATTCCTGAGATTCGCACACACTCTTGGTTTCAAGCTCATCTGCCACGCTATCTAGCTGTTCCTCCACCAGATACGATGCAACAGGCAAAAAAGGTTACTTAAACTATAATTGTTGATATTTTCCTCTTCAACTGTAAATTGTGGTCATTGGTATTTAATATAATAAATAATTACTTATTTATGACTAAAATAAAGGTTGCTTAGATAAGTGACCTTTTAGGTGTGGTGAATATAGTAATATAAGGGATGTAAAAATTGAACACAAGTTACTATGATTAAATTTATTACTATTCTATGTGTTTCAAGTGTTCATTTTCCAATACACATGGCTTTGTGTCTCTCTTTGTCCATAATATTCTTTTTCATCATTTATGTTTCTTTTGTACTACTATGAGTTTGTACCTTCTAATCTATCGTAGTGCCATGGGTGTGACTATTGTGGGATTTGAGATCTGTTGGAAAGTTGATATGCTATTGAACTGCAGATTGACGAAGAAATACTACAAGAAGTGATTAAGATGGGATTTGAAAGAAACAATCTCATTGAGTCTCTTCGCAACAGAGTGCCAAATGAGGTGACATTAATGTGTATTGCTATAGCTTTTTTGGTATGTAGCATACAAATTTGACATTTATGTTTTGCCCGCCTCTCTCAGGGAACTGTTGCTTACTATTTGCTACTTGATAACCGCTTTCGTGCTTCCAGTGGCTACCTGGGTGCTGAATTTCAGGAATCGATGGTGCGTTGGCTGTGCTTTTATCTATAATTCTATGTAATGCATTGCTATCACTTATGCTCCATCTGTCATCTATACCAGAGAAAGATTCATATTTGAAAAGTTATATTTTGTCGCCAACAGATGAGTGCTATTTGAAAACTTATTTGATCTAAAAAAGAGTCCCTTTGAACAAAAGGAGCTGATTTTCATTAACTGTAATTTAATTCATAAAATGGTTCCACATAAGTCAAATATGCTGCATTTAGTTAAGCCAACAATGGCAACAAGTAGGTTTAAATATATAGCTAGAATTGATTATTTCCAATAGTTGTACACTTGTACCTCACTAAAATTTATAAGTCCATGGTGTAACAAGATTTTTTGGGGGAAAGAAGTAGTAATACATATATGAAGAATCTTGCGTGTTTGGGGCTTTGGAGGTTGGGGTAGTAGACTCCATTATGAAACAATAGTTTCAGCCTGGGCTGATCTATTCTGGAACTTTAATGTGCCTAATTGCTTTTACGAGCATTTGAGTCAAGGTCAATGGCTGTAACATATACAGAGTATTTGGTTATAATCCTGTTGCAATTTTTGCTTTCTTGCAAATGTAAACATTGATAGTCTTGTATGTGCTTTTCTGCAGGAATATGGTTTCAACCCTATGAACTCAAATGATTTTGTAGGGTTACCTTCTGGGCAACCCTTCGCTGGGAGTATTGAATATCAACCGGTTGGTGCAAGACAACAGTTTCTACTTGAAAGGAAATGGGCTCTTGGGCTGCAGGTTAGTATTCTCTTTATTTAAATGTAGGGGTATGCTTTGATCAAGGAAAATGATAGGGAAATGTAATATTTATAAGAAAGCTATTTTCTTGTGTTTTACCATGGAAAATAAGGAAAAAAATATGATTACTAGTTATTTTAATTAAAAAAACATATTTAGATTTTTTTGTCTCTATATATTGACATAAATAAATAATTCAAGTATCAACAAATATCTAAAATAAGTTCTTGCCATAATATTTCCCAAGATCCAAATGTATGAGTTTGATTTGGCTACACTGCATCCTTGCCTCTATAGGTTTTCTGATCATATGCATGTAAAGCAAGAGTTTGATTTGGCTACACTGCATCCTGTATTTACAGCTATACAACCTAGAAAGCTCTTATTTAGCTTACTGGTCATAATATACTCGGTATATGAGTTTATTTTAATAGATATTATTTAGAAAGAATAATGTTTTCTTGTCGTTGACAATATAATAGTCTCGAGCTCATCCGCGTGAAATAATGATGGAAGTCCTTAAAGCCCTACATGTGCTGAATGTCTGTTGGAAAAAAATAGGGCAGTACAACATGAAATGCCGGTGGACTCCAAACCTTCCCGGTTACTATCATGAAGGAGTGTTGAACGTTTCATTGCAAAATAATAATTACTTCGAAGATCAATCTGCTATCATAGAAAATCAAGGTGCTTCTAGATTGGCAAATGTTGTCAAGTTTGAAGTTCAGGTAAAAAGCCTCCTGATATTTCATGCATGTGTCGTTTACCTGAAGCTCCTTCAAATTCATTGCTAGCTGTTGTTTGCTATTGTGATTCCTCCGTCCAATAAACGGTGTCATGTTTCACAAGCTCTTTTTTGTCCCTACACAGAGTCCTATTTCATCAAACAAAGCTAAGTTTTCATATAACTATTCAAACATGGGCTGCAAACAAGTCGATATATATAGCTAAATTGAAAAAAGAGTTTTAATATTACAAGTAAAATTCCCTGACTTTTAAGAGTTGCATCTCGACCAAACAGGACTCTTGTTTTGGGATGGAGGGATTATTCTTTAAATCTTTTTTTCGGTGGTGAAGTTCTAGTTAGAGATGCGAGTACCCTGATTATTTCATTGAAAGTTAGAAATATGATGTAAGAGCCAGCGAGGTGATGTAAATATGGCTGAAACTAAAATAAACATTTTAAATGTGTTTTGTAATAATTGAATGAAATAGAATCAATTGCTATATGGCAGTATCAGTGTCAATTTTTTATGATATTAATATTATGTCTGGAATACATGTGTTGTTAACAGCTGTACAAAACTCGGGACAACAAGTACCTCCTGGACCTGCAAAAGGTGCAGGGACCTCAGCTCCTCTTCTTGGATATTTGCGCTGCTTTCCTCGCGCAGCTTAGGGTTCTCTGAAGCAGCAGGAGCTTGTTTGCTCAGAGTGATAACCCTTGGTGAATGTGTAGTGTATATGATGGTAATATTGTGGAGTTGTTGACTCTTCCCTTTTTGTCCTCCGTCCCCCAAACATCTGAATTGTGAATTGCCACCCTGAGTTTCAGTGGTGAGTATGTGTTACCCATTGATTCCTTAAGAGTTAATGTTTTAGATGAAATATCTTCACTGGTGTTAATGTGTTATAGATAATAGATAGACGGATAGGGCAGGATAGATTGGTTTGAACCTTTGCCTCTCTCTGTGTAGAGGTTTTTTAAGTGTAAAACCAAACAGGCCTGCCTATCTTGCCAGCTGCACTCTGAAACTGCTTAGAGTGTTTGCTTTTTTAATTGGCCGTACTACATCATCTTTTAAATTGACCCATGGTTGATCACCTGTTTGTATTTTTATGAACTCTAATACTATGAGGCCTGGTCCGGAAATTAAGTTTCCTGGTCATGGAGCTCACTACCCAACTGTCCGGTCCTAGTTCTGGTTTGATTTCATTTGGTTTTGTTAAAATCATTGTGAAGCATTTTGGAGGGGTGTGGTCCATTTAAAATTTGAAAGGGGTGTGGAGGGGACGAACAGTAAAAGCATACTCAATTTGATTTGCAAATTCATACTTTCTCCGTTTTTTTTAATCGCAACATGTTGACTTTTGCACTGTTCACATGATCTACTTTGACTACATTTTACAATATTATTTTATGGAAATTATTTTTTTAAAAATAAATCAATTCATCTCATTACAATTTTTCAAAATCTGATTTTTAATATTTTTATTAATAGAGGTTAAGATATACTTACGGTCAAATGTGTGCGTAAGTGCGTTGGAAAATGTGCAAAGGTTGACTGTTGCAACTAAAAAAGAACTGAGGATGGTATTTTATTTGTCTCAAAATGATGTCACTTTCTATTTTAGTAGGGGTGGACTTGAGCCGTTTTCATCCTGGTCCTCGGGAAGAAATAGAGGCTTGGAATTACCCCGCTATGTTTTGATTCCAGTTTATCAGGCGGTTCCGGTTCTAGCCAGACCTCCCCTCCATTGTGTTTCTTCAAATTCTCCTTCGAAGTGTAAAAGAAATTTGAAAAAATTGCGCTGAAATTTAATACTAGTATTACTTAAAAGAAATATCATGAAACAAATTTTAATAACCTCTTTTTAATAGTTTTAGAGAATAATTCTTAAATTGAGAATTTAATGAACCTGGAACATACACATGTAAGGCAAGACTTTATGAGAAAATAAAATACAAATTTTCTTCCATAGTTAATTCACACATTGCTTTTATAATGTTCATCATTATAAATAAAGTAATCAAAAGGTTGAGAATTTGCAAACCTTTGTGTTTCTGTATACTTCTTCCCCTTTGACCTCACAGGGTGGTGAGCATTCAAATGCCTTTTCACGGTGTTGTAGCCCTCAGCTACACCCTTGCTTAGATTGAGATTACAATAATTGTTTTTAGACTTACCTTTGTCGACTTGTGAGGAAGACCCGACGTTGGTTCCTTGCTGCTGATCTTCTGGAGGGGGGAGGGGGGTAGGTAGGCTTGGACTCGGTGCGGGCCACCCGGCCCGCTACTGTGCGGGACTGGCCCGGCCCGGGAAACCGGGTCCGGTTCCGGTTCGGGCCTAGGCCGGGGGGTCTACCAGTTCCGGGCACGGGTAAGGGAAAAGCGGAACCGGCCCGGCCGGGCCGGGCCCGGTTCGGGCCTTTTTTTTATTTTTTTTTTTATTTTTTGGTTTGGGCTGGGGTTAGTTGGGTTGGGCTGGGTATTTCCGAGGGGTTTGGGGGGTTGGGGGGATGGGGGTGGGGGTGAAATAAATAAGAATAAAAAAATGAATTGGAACCGACCCGGCCCGGAACCGGTCAAGACCCAGGCCGGTCTCGGGCCTATGGATACGAAACCGGCGGCCCGGCGGGGCCTAGGCTCGGCCCGAGCCCGACCCGGCCCGAGTCCAAGCCTGGGGGGTATCTCCTCCTTGTTGATCCTCATGTATCGGGACGACTTCTTCTTCTTGAACTTCAGGAATACACTCTTGTGTTATAAATCGTCCATGGTGTTGTGACAAAAGTAGCTCCGTCTCCTCATCGATTACTGTGTCTCTTGTATCGCCCAGGTCATGGCTCGGCACGAAGATGTTGATGGGACGTTTGACCCGGGGGTTGATCCAATGGGACGTTTTCCATGACTTCGGGAAGTAAAGGAATTAAGACTGCCTTCTTACAGTTACATGATGGACTATCTAAATCAATAGACTTTTGAGACTCGACATTATGAATAACGATACAACTACTTCCTCCGTTTCAAAACATACTTTCCAGTTTGACTTGACACGCTTAATAAGAAAGCGAAAATAAAGTGAAAATGTATGGTTGTAGTTGAGTAAGAAGAAGATAAATGAATATTAGTCACACAAAACTTTTGAAAAAGAGAAATGGTGAGAATTTTTTGGTACAAATATTTATCTGAATAAGTACGTAATAATGTAATATATGATAATATGAAAGAAGCAGTCGGTCCCACAGTGTACTTACTGTTCATGTATGTGGGATGGATTTGGAGACGGATGGGGTACAAAGAAACAGAGAAGAAAAGAAATAGAAAAAGAAAAGAAAATTCACAAAAAATTGTGAACAGTAAAAAAATCCACTTGGACAATCCACGTAAGCTATAACCTGTAAAAAATAGAATTTGGTTATTTTTTGACAGTTCATGGACTTAATTGATTCATTTCAAAGTATGTGAACTCAATTGATTTTTTGATAAAAGTAGATGTACCTAATTGATAGTTTTTCCTTTTTTAATTCTTCAGTTCCAAAATTGTGTTCTATGAATGAAAAAAACTTTCACATTAGGTATTAGTCGGTGTCATTCTAGAAGTCATTTAAATTTAAAAAATACACATTTCGATGTTAAAATTAAAAAAATGTTTTTTTTCTTTTTCAGTTTTAATAAAATATAAAATGAGTTCATGTAAATTTCAATTATTTATGGAGCACCATGGATTAACATTTGTGTTTCATGTTATTTTTAAGCTAACAATAACTTTGGCAGTTAAAATTTCAATTTTTTAACTTTATATATGTAATTTAAATATGTAATTTTGATATATTTTTTGAAAATTTTGGAATAGGCATGAGACTTTAAAACTGGATTTTTAAAGTAGAGATGTCAGATGATATCAATCATCATCATCTCCGCTCCACTAGTCGTCCCATTCTTCCCCACCTTTTTGCTTTTTTTTCTTCTTCCCTCCCTATCAACCTTATCTCTATATTTAATACCCTCGATAGTCCATCCTCTTTCCCCTTTTTAATACCCTATTTACTCTACCAATGCACGCAATTAGGAGTCCAAAACCTCCAATTTTAGCATTTTGGACTCCTAATACCCAACAATACAAATGGCCTTAGAGTATATAGTACAGATTATGGTTTACGAAACACGAATACTAGGGCGTCTTATCCGGAAAAAACTGGTGTAAAAAACAACACAAGTATCCATAATATCCATTAATGTCATTATTAGTGGAGATGAAAAGCCTCATCTATCAAAAAAGGATGACACCTCATCCGGCCCTATCAAAACATTACACATTGTAAGAGATGGAAGAAAACTTGGGGACAAATTGAGATTTTCTTTCAGAATAAATTCTACTTTTGGCCCTATGAGTTTTACGTCAATTTCACATTTAGTCCACATCTTTCACTGTGTCCACTTTTGATACATGATTATTGTGTTTTCGCCCACATATGGTCCTTCCGGCATTGTTTCCAATGGTTAAAGTCACCGGAAAAGGACCACAAATGGTTAAAAAAATATTAGTCAAGTACCAAAAGTGGATAAAGTGAAAGACGTGGACTAAAGGTGGAAATGACACAAAACTCGTAGGGCCAAAAGTGGTATTTATACTTTTCTTTCATACTCAAACCATTCTGTTTCTATCAAAATGGAAATAATGTCACAATAAGAGATCATATACATTTGATGATTTGAATAACAATCTGTTAAGAAAGACTATTTATCAAGTTAAACACAGGTTCAAAGAGCCAATCCTCTTGTGTTATACTAACTCCATCCCGCTATGATTATCCCATTTTACCTTATCGGTCCGTCCCACTAAGATTGTCTCATACCAAATTTGGTAAAGTTTGTGTGGATCTAAATCATTCTTACTTTATCAATTCAATATCAAACACATAAATCATTTTTTATTAATTTGCGTGTCACTCCCTCTTGTCCCATTGTTAGCGGGACGGAGGGAGTAATTAATTACACATATCATACAATGAAACAAAACTTAACTCCCACAAAAACAGGAACCTTTGATTATAAATTCTTCTGTTATAATTAAAATACCAAATGCGCATAATTTACTTGGTAAAAAAATCTTTCCAATATATCACATGCAAGATTCTTGTTATTTGTTAACACATGAGTATTAATGAGTATGACTGGCATGAGTCTAAAGTGCATAATTCATATTTGACATGAGAGTATGACACGAAAAAAGGAAAAGCTTTTTATGTATTATTAAAATGCACAGGAAAAAAGTTGAAGAAAAAAAGCCAAAAGAAACATCAGATATTTTACAACGATTAAGACTATGCGCTACTTTTTTATGCCATGATGCCAACATTACATGTTGCTATATTAAATCTTGCTGTACCTTGAGTACATGACTTTCACTTTTATGCCTATGTTGTGTGAAGAAGGGGTGCAGTTTGGTGGTCATTGCTTCTAGAAGATGAGACTGGCATCAGAGTTGGATCTTGATATGCTGTTTCCAGTTCTTCATAAAATGCAGAAATTGTTGGGTCATTTCGATCTCTTCTGTCCTTGCTTATTAAACTCTGCATTTATTAAACGGTCCAAAGACATGAAACAATTAGCTAAACCTTTACTATTTACAGATCTAGTGCCTATTTGGATCCCGGAAAATACTAAGGATAGAAATCTGTAGCATAGAGAGTCATAAAAGATAGACTAAATGGCCATTTCATAACCCATTCTTTTGGCTTAATGCCCATATCGGCCTAATTTTTTCCCAAACACTAATTTTTTATTTCCCAAACACATATCGGATTCATGTCTCTCTGTGCTTTAGTACAGGGGTAAGACTGCGTACATCCGACCCCCCCTTACCCCACCTTAGGTGGGAGCCTTTGCGGCACTGGGGTAAATGAAAATGATATATGGTGAATTATGAAGTAACCAGAGTAAGTTGCAAGTACTTTTCAGGCTGAATTTGCAAGACATTTTTATTTTTTATAACTTTTTGTTTACTTTATTAGTAAACTATATTTCAAATATAACTACTTTAGCAGATCCAGACAATTTTAGTCAAACGGGCTCTAAATTTATAATAAATATTTGTTGATACTCATTTTATTTATCTATGTTTATAGTAAATACATGTGAAAAAGGTTAAAAAATATCATATTTCATTCACCTTTTCCTAGGTAAAACATTAGTAAAATAAAGTATATCACTTGTACCTCAGCAGAATAAGCCATGAATATTGGTAAGAACCTTCTCCGGCAGTAGTTATTAAATATAAGAGTGAGGATTGGAAGAGGAATGGTTAAGCTGGATGCTAGTGATAGCTTCTTTAACCCAAATATTCCAATGGCAATAACATGCATCAGGATTAATGAAAATATTGTTGAATCGTGCACTATTGGCCAGAACTGTCCACCCGTCTCGAACTTTGGTGCATAAACATATAGCAGCTGCAAGAATTTTTAAATAAATCAGAAGCTATATATGTTTAATAATCACATGCGGTATGTTTGGATCCCAGAATGCACTAGTGGAAGGGAAAAAACTGCTAAGAAAAGTGACTTTCTTATGTTTCTTTAAGGGTTTTATCCCAGAAAATGCAAGTGAAAATGAAATACGTTTGATTCTTTTACTTTTTTATGTATGTTCATATTTCCTGGTCTTGAAGTGTATAATATATATGAAGTACTACATAATAGAAATAGATAAATTACCAAGAAGAATGAGTTAAAAATTATCAAAGATATATTATTTCATTTTGAACCATGGCTCTATTTTCTCCGACATTTTCTGTCTCAAGCATTTTCAGAGTTCCAAACAGCTCTTCAATAAAAGGCAAAGTTTCGAGTTGTTTAGGGATCTAGGAGAAGTATATAGTCTACTAACCTGGTGGCGATAAACAACATATCCCAGACAGTAGAAAATCACAATAAAGGGCAGCATTAGAGGTGCTAGGAAGAAATATGTAACACCGAGAACGCCGAACAAAAGAATCCGTGGGATTTCACTGTGGTAGGAAATTGATGGAACCTCAAACTCTTCACTAGATGTGTTGCAAAGTCTCTTTTTAAAAAAACTTGAAACAAAGGGTTTTAGCCGAAGAAGCTCAGAGGCGGTCTTTGTCCATCCGGATGTTACAACATAGGCAATGAAGAAAGTTGCCTGTCAAAGCAAAATAGATTTTGACAGTTAACATAAGTGTATTCTCCCTCTATCCATTCTTTAAGTATTGGTTTTTTCATCCCTTTTCCTCTGTATTTATCATGGTTTGCTAAATTCCAACATTGAAGTTAGCAACAAGATATAAAGAAATAGATTAGGTTTTCTAACGTTATGGTTTAGGTTTTACCGGTTGAGATTTATACTGTATATGTTGGGTTGTTTGCCTATTATAAATTTAAAATATAGCACATCAGGAATTTACCCACAGCGCCCATCATAAGAGATGTTTTTCTTAACCTTAAGCTTGAAACTCATATTGGCTTCATCTCATTTTCATTTACCCCAGTGCCGCAAAGGCTCCCACCTACGGTGGGGTAAGGGGGGGTCGGAGGCACGCAGTCTTACCACTGTATTAAGCACTGAGAGACTGTTTCCGAATGATCCATAGTGAAAATCGCGTCCAAAATTGCATGGACTGACTGCTGCTCCATAACAAAGAAGCGCAGACAGTTTAGTGAGCCATTTTGCTTTATTCCATCATAATCTCAAGCCGAAAAATAATGAATCTTTGACTCCATTGCAAATGATGGAAATGAAATTTAAACTGTTTGGCCTTATAAATTATTTTATTGAAGATTTCAAACAAACTACCACTATGAAGACTTCAAATGAACTCACCTGACCTGGAACAGCTACAGCTAACATACTAGGGATGTTCTTTAGCTCAAGAAATACTTCAACACGGTAAAGAACTGACCCAGATAAAGCATTTGCAAAGAAGATATTCCAAATTGTAAACCACAGAACTTTGAAGCATGCACTCCTTTCTATCTGACTAAGTGCAATATAACCTTGTATGGATGAGAAGATCATCATAGCAGGCGGAACTAGAGAGAGAAACATCTGAAGGATAAGACTAGGAAGATATCCTGTTATCACTTCACTAACAAATTTCCTGCGTGGCGTCATTGGCGTGAAAAAGAAAAAGTTTATCATAAGTAATTGCTAAGATATATGCAAAGAGAAACAACTACTAAATAATTCCATGCTGATATGCTTGAGATTACAATTAAACATAAACAGTGTTTAGAGGAGAAAGGGATTGCTCCCTTCTTGTTTGGTAAGAAAAAATTGAAGGGGAATTTTAGATAAACAATGAATAGTTTTTCTTACAGACTAAATTACCTTCTTAATTGCACACATATTGTTCTTTTTTGGATCAGATATCTCTCTTCCTTACACACAAGCACACATACTATCTCTTGATTGTCATAATATATAAATATATTGGAAATGAATGTTCATAATTATGTACAAATCATGTTTAAAACATGTTTAGAGAAGTAGTTTATAGCATAATATATTATAGTATCTATAAAAATATATCCTCTTTGTGCTGTAGTACAGGGGTAAGGCTGCGTACATCCAACCCCCTTACTCCCACCGTTGGTGGGAGCCTTTGCGGCACTGGGGTAATGTTGTTGTATCTATAAAACAATGTCATATATCTAAATACACCAAATATGTTTGTTAAGAAATATAATGAACTATTCTGTTAGAGACCTCACCAGTACAGAACAATTACAGTAGATTAACAAGAAAATCAAACTAAATTCTTATTTGATGAAGAAGATCGGTTACAGAGAGAAACAGAAACAAAGGCCGAAGCCTCCCAAAAGAGAAGAGAATAACTCTCTAATCTTTCCCAGTCCCAGTCCAGAAGTCCAAAAAAACTCCTTACTACCTTCCCTCTACATCTATTTATACTATAATACTGCCTAAGCCCTTATTACAACTATTATTATGATTCTTTCTATTATTAATCTAATAGGTAGGTCCCTATCAATACTTCCCCCTTTGAGAATCCACCTTGCCCTCAAGGTGGGAAGATAGGAACCAAGTCTGGAATTCCGCTTCCTCCTGGTGCCTCTTCCCTCCCAGTACCTCGCTGATGGTGGTATAAGAAGTTCCCAGACTTCTAGTCCTCTAGATGAGAAGCTCTTGACCATGCTCAGCATTGCATGTCTCTCAGGCTCCATCCTCTCTCTTGAGTGAAACTTCTCACTGAATAGCTCGTACAGAATTTCATCCACACACATGTCATAAGAAAGTTTATGAAAACTTGTGTCATACTGTGTTCCTCTTTTTGAATTTAAGACTTCTACAATCTCCAATGGTATTCCCCCATCATGAAACAGAAGTAGCATTTGTCCCATTACACTGCATAACCAGATGTCTTCTTTAAGAACATGCATATTTTCCTTGAGTAATGCACCCATCAGCTGAAATGCAGGAATATCCAATACAAATTTAAAGTAAGTAACAATTTCCAAAGGACCATAAGTCCACAAATCAGGGCGGTTCCGTCCCAAATAACTTCCTGACACTTCAGAAGATCTTGCCAGAAAATGAACCTGATTACCATAGAGTATTTCTAAAAAAATTGGTGCAACAACTTCGCCTAGAGCTTGCTGATAACTCTTAAGAGCCATCTTCTGTAACACTCTTGTTAAGATGTCAAAAACATCAGTAAGTGATAGGCTAAGAACAGTCTTTGCAGTGATGTCTCCCAATTTTAGATATCCTCCTAATGCTTTCAATGGATTATGTAAGCCAAGCTTGTGGTAGTTTATCATGCTATCAACAATATGCTGCAATTCTGCTTCTTTTAATCCTGATAAGTCTTTAACAATTACTGTTGTGAGTTGCAGGGAACTTCTATCAAAGTGCTGGGAATGGTTAGACTTCTCATCTTCAGGAAAAGGTTTACGGTTTCCAAACATAATAGCAAATTCTCCTAAAAAAAGATCCACATGATCCTCCTGAGCCTCTGGCCCAGATTTCCTTTTATCAATGCCTGAATATTCTGAAAACATTTCCCTGGGTTGTCAAGGTTCTTGACTTTTGATCCGAACAGCTTTGTCATCTGAAACGTTCTTGATTTTAAGTGCTCCAATTTCATAAGCAGTTAAGACTCTACTTCCAAAGAAACATGGGTGGATAAGCAGGTCAGCAATAGAAACTCGACTGGGAGTTAAATCCATAGCAATTTCAATATTAGGAGAAGCATAATCTGGCATTTGTTTAACCGGAAGAACCGTTTTCGACTTTAAGACACCTACAACTGTAGTTTGCTCCTCGATTTCGTCCTCCTTATTCGTTTTCTTGATTCCAGATTCAATTGGTTCCCTCTCAATCTCCTCTATGGACGGTAGAATTTCTTGCTCAGGGACAAAACCATCTTGCGATAAAACTGGCGAACACAGAGAAACGACTTGAGAAGAGGAAGGGAAATAGTGAAAATCGATTGGTGACTTTCTTGGACACGAACTGAGGTCCGGAGAGGAATTCTGCGAATGGCGAGAAACAGTTCGCGCTTGAGAAATATGAAAAGAAGTTCGCGATTGCGAACTAAAAGGAACAGTTTGCGCTTTCATTTGCGTTTCAGTTTGCGAACTTATAAGCGATGACGATGGACTGTGTTTGTCAGGTAGCGGAAGATACCTAGTCGTCCTCGATCGGTCTCCAGATTTTCTGCGATGTCTCTGCTCTTCTAACTCCTCTGAGTCAGTCGAAAATCGCGTATGTCGATGATGAGATTTGGGATGCGTATGAGAGTAGTCAAAATTCTCTTCCGATCCCTCTGGATTGGATGACCTTCGTGACTGATGATGCGAAGTCCGACGAGAAGAGCTATACGACGAACGATGGGAAGAGTTATGGTGGGATGAGCCATGCGAAGATCGGTGCGAATGGTGCGATGTATGTCGCGAACGACTTTGAAGTCGGTTCTGCAAATCTGCGACGCTAGCTTGCATCGCCTCTTGCATAGCGGCCATCATCATCTTCATCTTTTCTTGCGACGCGACCATACTCGCTTGTGTCTCCCTCATAATTCGGTCAATATTATCAAAACTCTTTTCCATTTTCGGTGTCAGGTAGAAATCCTCCTCCATGATTCAGATTCTTTGTCTCCAGGATGTAACAGCTCTGATACCAATGTTAGGAACCCTAGCAATTACAGAAGTTCACTAACAAACAGAAGAATGGTAACTAAGAAAACTGAAAGCTTCATTAATGGAAAATCCGAGTACACAGTCCCAAAGAAGGAGATAAACTCCAACTTCCCAGTCCCAGACCAAATGAGTCTAAACAACCTTCCCGCTAACTCCCCCTTACATGTCTATTTATACCAGAATACTACATAAGCCCTTATTACTATTATTATTGTTATTATTATTATTATTATTCTTTCTATTATTAAACTAATACGTAGGTCCCTATCAATACTCCCTCCCTAAACATCCACCTTGCCCTCAAGGTGGACGGTAGGAGACAGCCAAGATCTTCTGCTTCTTTTTCTTCCTTGCTCCTCTTCCTTCCCAGTACATAACTGTTTGCTGGACCAGAAGCTTTGGTATTTGTTCCTTCAAAATCACTGCAATTTCATTTGTTGCCGGAGCTTCCAAGCATTCACTAGCTGCAATTGTTTCCTTGTTTTCTTCTTCAAGGATTCTCACTTCTGAAGCTATCAATGTGCTGGATGCAACAAGCCCTATGCAATTTTTTTCATTTACAATGCACTCTGTCAGGCAGTTAGTATCAATGATAGAATCATTTGTAGTAGCAGGATTTGTCTCATACAACTTCAACAACCAACATAAGTTGTGCACTACAATGCTACCATGCGATGTCAGATAATCTAACTGCCAAGGACCCCAGTCTGGCCAGTTTTCTTCTTTCCACTCACTTATAAGAGAGCCAAAAACTCTTGCAGCCATAGAACGAACTTCAGGGACCACAACAAACTCCTTTATGTTATAAACATGTCCCTTTATTATCATCCCAGGATTGACCTCTGAATGAGTGAAAATTGATCCTTCAATTGCACTAGTTTGTGGCTCATTATTCATCAATCGCATTGCTAAGGCATCCCAGAATAATTCAAAGCCTTCACCCACCAGATTTTGGTCTTGACTTTGAGTATAAGCAGCACACTTCTCCCTCCATGGAATTGATAAGTATTCTGTTTCAGCACGAACAAACACTCCTGTCCTTTTTGACTTATCTGCGTTAGTGACTTCCTCCTCCAGCTCTTTCAATTCTGACAACTTCAACTCAGTGTTTCTTGCCAATGATGAAGAGCCTGCTTCAGTTCCTCCTGTTACAGAATATTGCTCATTCTTTTCCTCTTCCGGTAATTCCTTGATTATTAATTCCGAGGACTTCAATTGGGTTTTCTTTGTCGACCGGTGATAATCTAGCTCAGGTTGAGAAACGTTCAACAAAAGCACTGGCGAACATGAATATTCCTCTCTTGATCTCGTTGCCCTGTTATGTGAATTCATCGCGATTGGGGATGCCTGCGGATTGAAATCTGTTCTCGTTGTTCGCCGCTTGCTAGGCGATGATTCCTGCGAACTGAATGAAGAAGTTCGTGATTGCAAACTAAGAAAAACCTTGCGCGACTCTGTTTGCGATCTTGGGAGCGGTGGTGACGAGCTTACTTCGTCATTTATCGGAGAGCGACGATAAGAGTGATGCGACGAACCTTGTTTGTCAGGTAGCGGAAAAGACCTAGTTTTCCTCGATCCTTCTCCAGGTCCTCTGCGATGGGAAGGATACGAAGGTCGCGATTCAGTCTGCGAACTTCCGCGCTCCCTTTTTTCTGAGATATTCCCCATTTTTTCGCGTGAAGCCTTTTGTGAGTGTGAAATAGAAGAAACAGTTCGCGACTCCTTATGCGAACCAGAAGAAACACTTCGTGATTCCCTCTGCAAACTGGTGAGCGACGAACTCTGTTTGTCAGATTTCCGATGATGCCCGGTGTTCTTCGATCGGTGCAAGCGCTGATTTATACGTTCAAAGTCACGTAACATTTCTTCCAACCTAGCGTTTGTCTCCTTCATAATTTCTTTCATCCTAGCGTTACTCTCCTTCATCTGTTGGTTCGTCTCCTTCATCTGTTGATTCAGATTGTCAAATCTTTCTTCCATTTGCGGTGTCATATAAAATTCCTCCATCTTTCCGATGATTCAGATTCTTTGTCTCCAGGATGTAACAGCTCTGATACCAATGTTAGAGACCTCACCAGTACAGAACAATTACAGTAGATTAACAAGAAAATCAAACTAAATTCTTATTTGATGAAGAAGATCGGTTACAGAGAGAAACAGAAACAAAGGCCGAAGCCTCCCAAAAGAGAAGAGAATAACTCTCTAATCTTTCCCAGTCCCAGTCCAAAAGTCCAAAAAACCTCCTTACTACCTTCCCTCTACATCTATTTATACTATAATACTGCCTAAGCCCTTATTACAACTATTATTATGATTCTTTCTATTATTAATCTAATAGGTAGGTCCCTATCATATTCATAATTGTTGATTGATCTAAACTGATTACTTATTATTAAATTTCATAAAATAAGGATAATATAGTACAGAATTAAAATGTTAAATGTCTCTCATTCCCTTCCATCTACTATACCCAAATGAGGTGATATTAAAATCATCCCCCCACCCAAATGAGGTAATGTTAAAATCATCCCCCTCCCCCTTCTTCTTCATTACATGGGAGGACAATGCATTACTGTGACAAGAACTAAATACTCACATTCGCAATACTCCTGTTAGAAAGGGGAACCAAATCTCCAGCTGCTCTAGATGGGTAAGACCTTGTACTATGAGAACAGGTATAAGGAACAGAACTGTAAGTACAACACATGCAGTATAAACAGCAACATTGCAAATCCATCTTTTGAAAAATGAAGCTGAAAAGAAGGGCCAATATACATCCTCTGGATCAGGAGATGGCTCAGTAACCCATTCAGTGGGATTGCTGCTTTGTCTGATGTTTAAAGCTACTGCTGCCCCAAATCGTGTTTTGAAGGATACAAAAGCCGCTTGCACCTCCTAATATTAGAATGTTTAGCCCATGACTGAGAAAGTGAAAAGTACTACATCTGTGCATTCTGGTACAACATTTACATTTTATTAAGGTAAAAGTATCTTCAAATCATCCACCTTGTATTTTTGAACCTATTTGTTTGTTAAACTAAATTTAGCACACTTTACATGTTTGGAACTTTTTTGGTAAAATTGCTTTAAATTCAATGAAAATTAGCTTCTTTTGTTGAAATAGAACTTTTTATTGGGGTCAAACATGCAAGTATTTTGGAACAAACAGGATTCTCTTTTTAGGATGGAGGTAGTATATGGCACTCCCTCCACTCCTTAATATAGTACTCGTATAAAACATTTGTGATAGAATCACACAAAGCAACAAGAGTATCAAATTACTCAAAAGTGTACCCTACTACCAATATTATCATCATTATTTCTTCCTGTAAGGGAAAACAGTGAGCAAAGTATTAAATGCTTCATTGGAATGCGGAAGAATTCTTTTACTGAATGTCAACAGTCAAGACTATAAGGTTAGTAAACGAATTATGTGACTAAAACTACCTTTGAAGATCGTTCCACTCTAACTTTGTATTCTATATCTTCTAGCTTCATTTCATAGTGGCCCAAAAGGTCAACTCTAGGCCCAAAGATCCCCATGAAGCCAGCACGGCCAAATCTTTCTTGACTATGGTCTAATGTTTTCAACCGAGCTAGTTTCCTGTACAGCTTATCAGCTTCATCCTGGAATTCAAATTGCTTAGATATTAGATGTGTTGAAACATACACAGGAACAGTTTAACGACCACACCAGAAGCTTATAATTGCTTTTAATCCACAATGACAAAGCAAATAATGAAGGATCCGCTCCGCATGATGTAGATCACAGGGCCAGTCATGTACATTTACGTAATAGAAAAAGGGAAAACATTATAAGAATAGATAAAAGTGGAAACATGACTTCTGCTGAAAAAGGTTAATTCATATGTGAAGTTAAATCTTACAATGAGGCCTTTGAGTTTGCTTGTCCGCCGGACAACAGAGTGTGAGAGATAAGTAGCAGGATGGTACTCCATAAAAAAGCTCTCAACAACTTCAGTGTAGCTCTTCCCTGGGGATGGTGGAATACTTCGAACTAAAACAGTGAACTCGTGTGGCTTGGGCTTTGAAGAATTAAAAAAGGCAAGCCTTTTAGATGCAATATGGTCATACTCCTGCAAATCATAAATTGTTTCATCAACAAGATGACTTTCATAGGCACACAACACATAATTGCAACAGGGACTCATTGGTAATGGTTGTTTGGCTGAATGACTGAATTTACTGATTTTTTTATAAATGAAAAGCTTTGATTATGGATGCCAATGGAGCCCAAGTAAAGATTGTGAAATACTTACAGCATAGAGAAGATAGCAAACATACGTCGTGAATACGTACACTGCTGAGAAGTGAATCCATAACCTTAGAAAGACCAGAAGAGACAACATTTAGCTTCCAACTCAATTAATACTAACTATTCCTTCCATCCTTTTTATTCTCCCCTTTGGGCTTAAGCACAATTTTTAGGAAAGTGGAATCTGTATGGTTGAAATTTGTTTAGAGGAGATACATAACATCAGCCACCAAAATCTTTCTTTAGAATAAAAAAAGAAATAATTTAGGGATGAATAAAAATGAATTAATGAAGATAAAAAGGGAAGGAGAGAGTGAATTCATTTACTCCATAAGTGATATTAGGAACTCAAAAATCAGTATAGAATTGGTCAGCTGTAAATTGAGTCATTGACAAAGAGTAACTAGTCATCATCAGCATCATTACCCTAGTGCCGCAAAGGCTCCCACCTATGGTGGGGTAAGGGGGTTGGATGTACGCAGTCTTACTCTTGTACTGTACTAAAGCAAAGAGAGACCGTTTCTGAATGACCCATAGTGAAAATCGCGTCGGAAATTGCATGGACCGACGACTGCTTCATAACAAAGAAGCGCAAACAATTTAGTTAGCCATTTTGCTTTATTCCATCATATTCCTAAGTCAAAAAAATAGTGAGTCTTTAGCTCCATTGCAAATGATGAAAATTGACAAACACTAACTAGTACAAACCAAAATTTCTAAGTACGCTTTTGTCATATAAAGGGCATTACTTCATTGGAATTTAAAATATTAGATAGTTTTCAAACTCATTTTACTTATATTTCTATTATATAGAGATTAAGAAATATAAGCATACGTAAAATGTTAATATCTTTAATTATATTTGATTATGTGTATGTTTGGCACAACTAGCTGAAAAGATACTTTTGTGAGCTTTTTAATAACTGTTAGTTTTTAGTGACTGAAAAGATCTTAAAAAGAAAATGTGGTAGCTGTTTGGTAAAAAGCTGACTGTTTGATTTAGTTCGGTTTGATATACAAGTTGTTAGGACTAATTAATACTAAAAGTCACGGGCTTTTTTCAGATGCTACTCCATGTACCATCTCAAAAAAAGATCTTTAATTTTTGAAAAGCTCCTAAAAATTGTCATGCCAAACATATAACTAGAAGCTTTTAGAGACTTTTTGAACAGTACAAAAGCTAGAAGACATGGACTTATGGTTGACAAACATAGCCTATCTTCATATTCTCCAACCTAACCAAACATAAAAACAAATTTCCTTTCGCTAGCATTTTCCGCATTCCAGGCATAGTCATAATAGCAAATAACAAAAGAACCGTAAATATTTTCACCTGTTTGACCCATCATCAACATTTGAAATAGTAAATGATTCCAGGGATCTGTTAGGCAAGTCAGTAAAATCAAGACTCAGCTGATTCCCCATGTAATTGAAGGGGAGGAGAATGAGGATCCCAACTGCTGTAGCAAATGCAAACACTTTAAAGCTGAAAGGTTTATGCAGATGAAGCACCAAATCAGCTCATTACAGTCACTATCCATTAATGATGCATACACAACAAAGTAATTACCTACCTGAATATAAAAATTCGCATGAAAACAACGGCGTCCAGACCGGAAACTGATAAGAGCTCGCTTTCTGTGAGTCGCCAGGCTCTCGCAACCCAGCCTGCCGACGGCAGTAACCTATCCAATTCAAAATGAGCTCTCCCCTGAGATTCCCCATCCGCGAGTAACCGAGGAGCGTAAACGTCTTCATTGCTAGGCTGCTTTCTCAATACAGAATAGAAAACAAAGAAGACGAAACAAAGGGCGAGATTGATTCCAACTGAAGTAAGTAGCGCGGAGAAAAGCATACTTCCCAAATGCTAAGCCAAGCTAACTCATTCAAGATTACAGGTAACTATGAACCTTTGGCAATAAACAGATTCCTTCCTAAAGCTGGTCGAAGAAGAATCAAAGTGAGCCTATCTAAGAAGAAACCAGCAGCGGAAGAAGTGAACATTAAAGTTGATTCTTAAATTTACATAAAATAAACAAAAAAGATCACTTTCAAAGATTTCCTCAGGACGTGAGGGCCGTGTCGCACAATTCACATGGACGCGCGGCAGCTGGGCTATCAAATTCTTACTAAGTACTTACTAAGTACCACGTATAAGTGTATAACAGTTGTAGGATCCAAAAAATAGGAGTAGGCGCGGTCCGGAATTTTCATGTAAATTAGTAAAACTCGTAATTTATACTCCGTATGTGAAGTTTCTAATGGTCCGATACGGTACGGTTCTAAGTATGAAACATTCGGTATCATGTCGTTTCGGAACGGTACAACGGTACAATGCCAAACGCATGCTAAAAAATTTGACAAATCTTGCAATTAGTAAATAACACCACACCAACCAACTCACATAAGTGTTGATATAAATACAAGAAATTGCATACGTAGTACTAAAATTCACAAATACACAAATAGTGCAACACAACTAAAAAAAGTATAGCAAAATAATGATACACCAGATAAATATGATCTTTCATTTACTAAGTTCATGTGAAAATATAAAAAGAATATCATCAAATTGTTCAGTATAATAGAAAATTTCAACGTTCTTCTTCTTTGTTCTAGACTTCTAGGTTAAATATTAGTTCTAATTAATTTATAGTTAAACCGTGAGAACTGAGATTTAAACCATGTTAATTAAGTTGTACAATTGCACAAACATGATATGGAGTACAGCAAAAAGTCACATACACTAAATTAGTAGGAATGAATAGTTATTAATGATTTTTAAAACTTTAACATTCTTTCAATACATACCAAAATATAACACAAAATTATCTAAAAAGAAAAAATAGCAATATACATATAAACACACACATTTAGCTATTTTAGGGACACGTGAATACATATTTGGGTATAAATTTGTTGGTCTATAAAATATATGATGGTCCCGGATAGGTAAAAGTCTAGAGGGGGGTGAATACACTTTTAAATCTTTTTTGACTTTTAAAAGTTTTCCCTCTAAAAGAGTTCATCTATAAACTTTTGAGAGATTTATAGATGCACAGCGAAAATCTTTACCCTTTATGTAATGAGTGTTTAGCCACTTTCTAACTTGGAGAGTATTTGGCTTAGAATGCTAGCAGTTGGCTTAGCAGGTGGCTAAGAGCAAGGAACTGCTGAGGCAACTGCTCAGGAAATGTAGAGTATATGATGAAGGTAAGGATAGTTGATTGATGAGTATGATAAGGCCTTTTAGTGAGTATGCTTAACTGAAAAGAAACTATAGCTTTTTACTGAAGCAGTGGACTCGACAGTTAGGTGAATGTGAGGGAACTGCTGAGGCACCTGCTTGGGTCAAAAGCTTATTGGGTTAAGAAAACTTCTTGGTGATGTAGTGACAATCCGGTGATGTTTGAGATGTTTGACAAGAAGTAAGTATATATGAGCAGAGGGCTCAGCAGTTGGGTGGATTCCAGGGAGCTGCTGAGGCACCTGCTGTACTTAGAAAGTGAATTTCAGAAAACTGATAGAGTGATCCTTTCAATTGATGTTGGTGCACGTTAAAGGTGTGAATTTGGTCTCAAAGAGAGTGAGTAATTAAGCAGTAGGATAAGCAGTTGGGTCAATTAAGACAACTGCTTAGGATGCTGCCGGCAAACTACAATCTTTATGTGAGAAGTGTTGGGTGTGTGCTTTGTTGACTGAAATGAAATCAACACACGATATATCCTGGTTCAGAGGTGGTGTAATCCTCCTACGTCCAGTCCCACCCTCTTTCAGATGGATTTCACTAAAGTATTAAGCCCAATACACTTAGTGCCAATCTAGCCTTTACAACACTTAGGCCTAGATTGAAGGTTTTTCACAATGAGTATAGCACCACTCAAAGTTACTCAGTCCTTAGACTTTTCTCTAATGAACCAGTGGGGATCAAAAGGTACTTTATCTATCTACTTACACCGTAGGATCCGAACAACTGTTCTCCTGAGTGTTTACAACAATATGTGATTTGTTACAAGAAAGTTCTAACCTCCAACTAGGAACTAAACGTCTATGATTTAGCAATGAAGAGCTTGTAAACTGGAAGTATAGTGAAGCATGAGTCCAAGCAGAGAGTAAAGTTTAGAATAACACTTTCTCTTTTGCTAGATATCTCGTGAATGCTCGAAGGATATTTTTCTCTACTTTGGATGCTCAAAAGCTTGGTTAGAAACTTTCGTTTCAGACTCTATTTATAGGCTTTTTGGCTGATCAATCTTATCTGTTGGTTAGGATAGATTGATCTTGGACGTTGAAGTTCTGATGAGTACGAGTAGTACTTTTGTCCTTTTGTGCTGGAGTTTTTAATGCAGCGGTTCTCTTGTCTTCAATAATCTTGGGGTGGTTTTCAAATACCACATGGATTGATTCTTCTACCACCAGAGTTCTTTTGTTGAGAATTCGGAATGCCTTGCTAGGTGTTAAGTAGCCCATGAAGATCCCTTCATCAGATTTGGGATCAAATGGCTTGAGATAGTCTTTTCCATTGTTTAGGATAAAGCATTTGGATCCAAACACATGGAAATGACTGACATTAGGCTTCCTTTCTTTCCGTAGCTCATATGGTGTCTTATTGTGAGTCTTATGAATAAGACTTCTATTTTGAGTGTAGCAAACAGTGTTGATTGCTTCTGCCCAAAATCTTTTGGGTAATCCAGCTGCTTCTAAAATTGTCCTTCCTGCTTCCTTGAGTGTCCTGTTCCTTCTTTCAGCGACACCATTTTGTTGAGGTGTTCTTGCTGCTGAGGTTTGATGATGGATTCCATTTTCTTCACAGTACTGAATTATGATGGAGTTGAGAAATTCAGTACCTCTATCTGACCTGATCTTCTGAATTGAGAGACTTTTCTCATTTTGAATTAGCCTCATCAATTCTGGCAGTTTCTTCTCTGTTTCATTCTTCTTCTTTAAGAATATGGTCCAAGTGTATCTAGAATAATCATCAACTACAACCAGGGTGTACCTTCTACCACTTAAGCTTGTTGGTTCAACCGGTCCAAACAAGTCAAGGTGTAGTAGGCATAAGGGCCTAGTTGATGATTCCACTTCTTTTGATTTGAATGATACCTTGGTTTGTTTCCCTTTTTGACAAGCATCACAGAGGTGGTCCTTTTTGAAGTTGATTTCAGGGAGTCCTTTCACCAAACCTTTTCTGGACAGTTTGTTGATTGTTTTAAAGTTTAGATGGTGATGGTCCCAGATAGGGTAAAAGTCTAGAGGGGGGGTGAATAGACTTTTAAATCTTTTTCGACTTTACAAAGTTTTCCCTCTAAATGAGTTGATCTATAATCTTTTGAGAGATTTATAGATGCACAGCGGAAGACTTTACCCTTTATGTAATGTGTAACAACTTTCTATGATGGATGAAGTCTTTGCTTAATGGTGAGCAGTTGGCTAGGCAGTTGGCTAGAAAGCAGGGAACTGCTTAGTCGACTGCTTACGAAATACTTGGAGTATGATGAAGGTGTATTCAGAATCTTTATTAGAGTGGGAAGAGCTTTCTGATGATGTACTGAGGTGGATTGATAATCAACCTTAAATTAGAGCAGTTGTCTCAGCAGTTGGGTGGAAACCAGGGAACTGCTGAGGCACCTCCTGAAGTAAAGGTGAAGGTATGGAAGGTTTGATTATATGGCGTTGCTCAGGATGATGTGGGCTTTCTGAAAATGTGCTTTGGACCAAGTAAGTAGACGGTTTTACTTAGACAGTGATCTTAGGCAGTTGGGTGATAGTGAGGGAACTATTGAGGTACCTGCTGGGTTATCACCTTGAATCACATAGATTATTTTGAACAGACTTCTTAGAGATAAAGATGTAAAGGTCTAGTAATGTTAAGATGTTCACAGGAAATACTTTTGTGTGAGCAGTGGGCTCAGCAGTTGAGTAGTCTTTAGGAGACTGCTGAGGCAACTGTCATGCCTTAAGTGGTATTTCCTGAAATCTTAATGAAACAGACCTTTTTGTTGTGATATTGTGAAGCTCTTGTATCTCAAAGAGAGTGAGTAATTAAGCAGTAGGATAAACAGTTAAGTCAATTAAGACAACTGCTTAAGATGCTGTTGGCAAACTACAATCTTTATGTGAGAAGTGTTCCGTGTGTGCTTTGTTGACTGAAAATGAATCAACACACAGTATATCCTGGTTCAGAGGTGGTGTAATCCTCCTACATCCAGACTCATCCTATTTCAAATGGATTTCACTAATGTATTAAGCCCAATACACTTAGTGCCAATCTAGCCTTGACAACTCTGGCCTAGATTGAAGGTGTTTCACGAGGAGTACAACACCACTCCAAGCTACTCAATCCTTTAGGTTTTTCTCGATTGATCCAGTGGGGGTTAAAAGGTACTCCTGACCTATCTAACCAGACTCAGGCCGGGAACAACTGTCCTCCTGAAGTGTTTTACAACAAAAAATGTGATTGGTTTACAAGAAAGTTCTAACCTCCAACTAGGAACTAAACTTCTAAGATTTTGACAATGAACATTTGATACTAAGAAGTTTAGTGAAGCAAGAGTCTAAGCAGAGAGTCGTGAATAGAACAGCACTTTTTGCTCAAAGAAATATCTCTCTACTTAGGATGCTCAGGCTTGGTTAGAAACTTTCGTTTCTGCCTATATTTATAGGCTCTCCGGTTAATTGATCTTATCCGTTGGTTAGGATAGATCAATCTTGTGCGTTGAATTTGTTTGCAGAAGATAAACAACTTGTTGTTTATTTTCTTCTTCAGAGCGTATGGGTTCTGCTTGTCTTGCCCGCCTAGCCACTGTAGATTTCTTTTTAGGCTTCAGACTGTGCGCCCATGCTGTAGGTCCATGTATCTGTCTTTATTTGCCTTCGCTGAAATATCTCTTTGTGTGCGTCTTTAATGCTCCGGACCCTAGTACGTATCTGACATTAATAACTTTTGAGCTAAATAAAATATGCCGGTAGGATTTAAATATCCTATTAAGGTAAATAAAAATTAACTTATTGAATTTTTACTTTTCCGGTAATATTTCATTAGTCTCAAAAATTGTATTTTTATTTTGTCACATTAATACTAGACTAAAATGAGATACAATGTACACGTGCTAAGTA